CGAACCCAGGGCCTCATGCATGCAAGGCAAGCGCTCTACCACTGAGCCACCTTCCCAGCCCTGAGCTATATTTGGAGAACTTACGCATGCCATTCAATAGTAAAAGAGGCACAGGCCTGAAGTCAAACATTTCTGTATAAAACAATAAAACAATGTATTAAAACGATAACACTTGGATAATGTGAAGATACACAGGAATTTGTGATATTTTCCTGTAAGTATGCAGTTATTTCCGAATGAAAAGTTAATTTCTAAATTTGCAATTTCATGGTGGGAGGTAAACTGTATGGTTGAGACTGACTCCCTTCCTAGCATTTGGGGCAGAAGCAGCTGGAGATCAGTCCCATAGTAGCCTTTGGAATACACTTTCTGGTTTTCAGGACCTCTGGGGAAAGGGAAACACCCAGATGCTCTGAAAATCAGTTTTCTCCACTGGCATGATCTGTAAGGGATGAAACACCTGCTACACTTACTTGTAAAAATATAAAACATCCTGGTTTTTTTTGTTGTTGTTGACTGTGGGGCTTGAACTCTGGACCTGGGTGATGTCCCTGAGTTCTTCAGCTCAAGGTAAGTACTCTACCACTTGAGCCACAGCACCATTTCCTGTTTCCTGGTGGTTCATTGGAAATAAAAGTCTCACAGACTTTCTTTACCTGGGCTAGCTTTGAACTGGTATCCTCAGATCTCAGCCTCCTGAGTAGCTAGGATTACAGACATGGCTAGGCTAAAACATCCTGTTTTCTGTAGCTAAAATAATTAAAGGCGCATGTTTTCTTACCTGAAAGCACTAAGAAAAAAATATTTAAGCTGTGATAAAACTGCTACAAAAAATAATCAGCTGTGGGAAGCTTGAAACAAAAACAAAACTATTACCACCAGAGGTGGCCTATGTATCCTGCCTGTAATTCAGCACTCAGGCAGTGGAGGCAGCATGACCCATCAGAACTGGAGACCAGCTTGGACTATATAGCAAGACCCTTAAAATAAGACTGGAATCTACTATTTTTCTGAATGTGACACACCACCTAGTGCCAAAAAGCTAAAAAGCCATCTGAAAAGTAAAATGTCAGTGGCTCAAGCCTGAATCCTTGTTCATTCAGGAGACTGAGATCTGAAAATTCGAATTCCAAGCAGAAAAATTCATGAGACTCTTTTAATTCAATTAACCACCAAAAAGCTAGAAGTGGAACAGTGCCTCAAGTGGCAGAAAAAAATCTACAGGAAAAGGAAGGAAACGCTTGAGCAAAGCCATAGGGGAAGGTAAGAAGAGCCTCATTTATTATCAACTGCACTGACAGACAGGGAAGCAAGAATTAGAAGCAAACCAGCGTGAACATGGATAGAAAGCCCCCAAGAATCCTAAATGGAAAGCAGAAAGCCCCATAATTGCAAGTAGGAATGACCTACTGCTCCTTCTGCACCAACTCTGCTTCCATAGCCCCCTGGCTTACCAACTTCTCCCCAAATCAGCAGTGTCCACACCAAATATGTCCACTTGCTAATCCCGCCTTCTATCTGTCCCCAAAAAGCAGTAGTTTCCCCAAACTACATTTCTCAAAAGTTTTCCAAGAGATATTTTTCCAAGTCAAGTACAGAAATCACCATATTACAATCCCCTCCTAAAAATATGCAATGGCTATTAAAAAAAAATCACACGAAAACGGTATATTGATTTAGTTTGGCCAGCTGTTTCACGTGCCTCTTTGACGTGCACGCCTTTCCCAGTCTGTGAAGGAACTCCAGGGCTCACCAGCAACTTGGGACATGCAGGCTGAGTGAAGAGCATGGCTTTGACATCTTTGCACCCAAGATTTTGCCTCTGAATTGTGAAACGCAAGACCCAACAGCAGAGGCTCAGAGTTCTCAGTGCTGTCTCTGTGGGGCAGAATGACATCAAAACAAGGCCTTAAAAGGATGGTAAGAATGAGTCTTAAAAACAGCTCAGGGAGGGGCTGGGAAGGTGGCTCAGTGGAGAGCGTTTGCCTTGCATGCCTGAGGCCCTGGGTTTGATTCCTCAGCACCACATAAGCAAAAAGAAAAAAAGCCGGAAGTGGTGCTGTGGCTCAGGTGGTAGAGTGCTAGCCTTGAGCTGAAGAGCTGAGGGACAGCGCCCAGGCCCAGAGTTCAGGCCCCATGACCGGACCCCCCAAAACAACAACAACAACAAAAAAAAAACAGCTCAGGGATGGGAAGGTGGCTCAGTAGTAGAGGGCTTGCCTTGCATGCATGAGGCCCTGGGTTCAATTCCTCAGTACCAGGTATAAAGAAAGAGCCAGAAGTGGCACCGTGGCTCAAGTGGTAGAGTACTAGCCTTGAGCTGAAGAGCTGAGGAACAATACCCAGGCCCAGAGTTCAAGCCCCACGATCGATAGCCCATTACCAGGTGTCAGTGATTCATGCTCATAATCCTAGCTACTCAGGAGGCTGAGCTCTGAGGACAGTGGTTTGAGGACAGACCCGGCAGGAACATTAATGAGACTCTTATCTCCAATTAAACACCGAAAAGTGCTTAATTGAAAGTGGCTGGGCTAGTGGTTCACACCTATAATCCTAGCTACTCTGGAGTCTGAGATCTAAGGATCTCTGTTCAAAGCCAGGCCAGGCAGGAAAGTCCATGAGACTCCTATCTCCAATAAACCACTAGAAAACCAGAAGTGGCACTGTGGCTCAAGTGATAGAGTGCTCTCCTGAGCTGAAGAGCTGAGGGACAGCGCACAAGCCCAGAGTTCAAGCCCCATGACCCACAAAAAAAAAGCTGAAAGTGGAGATGTGGCTTAAGTAGTGGAGCATTAGCCTTCAACAAGAAAGCTCACGAATGGTGCACAGTCCCAGAGATCAAGCCCTAGGACCAGAGTGCGTGCGCGCGCACGTGCGCACGCACGCGCGCGCGCGCACACACACACACACACACACACACACGGCCCATTATAGTGTCCACAGTTATAGGGTATAAAAGTAAGAAAAAATACACGTAATAGAAAAAATATAGCCTGTGATTTTTTCCTCTTAATGTTGCCTTTGTTCTTTTTTAAAGTCATTTTTAAACTTCAAAATTATCCCTTAAGTAGTTGTGCAAAGGGATTTCAATTCAACTTAAGAGTGCAATGCATCTTGATTAAAGTCGTCTTTTTTCTTTTTTTTGGTTGACTGTGAGTCTTGAAGTCAGGATCTGAATGCTGCCCTTGAGCTCTTTTTGCTCAAGGCTAATGCTCTACCACATGAACCACAGTCCCATTTCTAGTTTTCTGGTGGTTAATTTGAAATAACTGCCTCATAGACTTTCACTGCCCGGACTGTCTTTGAACTGCAATCCTCAGATCTCAGCCTCCTGAAAGTAGCTAGGATTACAGGTATGAGCCATTGGCACCCAGTTTTTGTTTTTTTTCTGTTTGTTTAACAAAGCTCTTAATACAACAGAACAGTCTCATAGTATTGGTCCACACACAAACAAAAGACACTCAGACTTAACAGCCTTGAGCTTGTGTAATAGTAAGACATTTATTAAGGATCTCATGTGTTTTTTTAAAATGATTCCCAAGGAGTCTACTAATTCAAAAAGTATGAGAAGACACTAACATTATCTTTTTCTTTTTAAAATGGAAAACAAGAATAGGAAATGAATAGATTTGTTCGCAATTAAAAACAAATTCATGGCCAAGTTGAAGAAAGTAAAGTAAACCGCTGTGGGTTGTCGGCGTACTCCTTAGAAATCTTCACACTAGCATTTTAGAGGTCTGGGTACATTGTTTCTCCTGGTAATGAGACCAAGTGTACTTGAATAACTGAAAAGTGAACAAGAAACCAATTTTCATGGCCTATTTTCTTCAACCAATAATATTTTAAGGTGTATTAAGTAATAAATAAGTCACAGTCATTGCAATACCTTATAAGAGAACATTAACAATTAACTTACAGTTTGTTGGAAACAAGACAAAGCTTACATCTTGAGGAAAAACCAAGTAAAGAGACGACGTTGCACAGCTCCGCAGAAGCATCATATGCTGTGCACTCTCAAGAGAGAAAGGAATTAAGCAAAGTAAGGCTTGCATTAGAAGTTGCATATGCTACCGTGGATATTATTCTGGTTTACAACCAATGGCTCTATAAACCTTCTTTGGGGAAGAAGAATACATCGAAAAAATCCTTGTATCAAAGGAAAAGCAAATGTGACAATGAAAGCCCACAGGAAAATACATACAGTGCAAATACAATGTCTTAATCTCAGTGAAGGAAGTTTCGGATTGGAGTGTGAACTTGGAGTTGAAGATACATTTCACCTGTTCACCCAAAGCTTGAGAGCTATGGTGAAAAGACTTGCAGTCAGTAACTAAATACACAATATGTCTCCCTTTTCACTAGATTATAATCCCCTTCAGTATGAAGTTCTTGCTCTTTAATTATCCCACATTTTGTTCTATGATTCATGCTTCTAAACCGCAGCTGTAACTCACTGGCTATAGAACTGTATAATGTCAGGCAAAGCTGTGAAATATCTGCCAAGCACTGGTGGCTCACACCTGTAATACTAGTTACTCAGGAGTGGAAGAGCTGAGGGTAGTGGTTTGAAGCCAGCCAGAGCAGGAAAAATGTGTGGGATTCTTACCTCCAATAAACTATTCAGAAAAAGCCAGAAATGGCACTATGGCTCAAGTGGTAAAGCATTAGCTTTGAGCAAAAGAAGCTCAAAGACAGCGCCTAGGCCCTGAGTTCAAACTCCAGGACCAGCACAGAAACAGAACAAAACAAAACAACCCTGCGTAATGTCAGCTAATGCCAGGCTGTCATTACACTCTGGGACAAGGTAAAATTGCTGTTTTGGAAAGCCCAGTCCTTGTACATCAACCATAAAAAAGTTTATTATGCATTATCCTTTCTCAAATAAAGGAAGATTAGAGGAATTCTTTTTAAAAAGAGGCTCTCAAACTAGTCCTTTGGGCATTTAAAAAATCTACATAAAAAAGTCCATTCCTTAATACATACATTTTTCCCTTTTAAAAAAACATCTAATTTTTAAGCCAAAATACACTACAACTTACAGAAATACTTTAGTAACTCAGTGCTTATTCTAGTTATAGGGCACTCTATTTCTCGTACATCTTCAGACATTAGAAATATGGAGACTTTACCTCTGAAACAGCACAATGACATGACCCTGGCTCTGGGAACAGACCATCAAGCTTTAAGTCTCAAGAATAAAATCTGATACTCATCTTCCAGTCTGTATATCATCTATTATGTACACATTAACAGTCTGGTCATGAAAAAGATGAATTTCATAAAACGATTTCAAAACTTGGGGCATAAAAGTGCAAAGAAACAAAAACATTTCATGTACAATTTCATTTGGCAATGTGTAAATTATACTGAGAGACAAAAACATAGAGACAAATGTAATCTAACAAAAGGAAAATGTGATTCAGGCAGTGATCTCAGGTCCAGAGCTCTTCCGTTCTTCCAAACTTATAGATGAGCGTACTAGAAAGAGATGAGTGCAGATCATGAAATCCATGAACAGCCATGCACAATTCATTTTTTAAATGTGCTCTGACAAGTACCTTATTGATCCTTCAAATGAAATCAAATGAAAGATCATGCTGGTGATGCTGGTGGTAAAGTAATTAAGTGTTCCCTCTCAAAGTCTAGGAAGTGAGCCGGGCGCTGGTGGCTCAGGCCTGTAATCCTAGCTACTCAGAAGGCTGAGATCTAAGGACTGTGGTTCAAAGCCAGCCCGGGCAGGAAAGTCCATGAGACCCTTATCTCCAATTAACCCAGAAAACCAGAAGTGGCACTGTGGCTCAAGTGGTAGAGTGCTCCCCTCAAGCTGAAGAGTGGAAGGACAGCACCCAGGACCAGAGTTCAAGCCCCATGACGGACAAAACAAAAAAAAAAGTCTAGGAAGTTATTACAAAGTAAACTTGTGAAGGGAAGAGATAACTTTCATGAGGGCAAGGATTAGAGCATTTTTCATCTTGAGGCACATAATGTGACCAATAAGGACTAGAGTATTCTAGTACAGACCAGGCTATAGGTCTGTCTGTCTTTCTTTCCTTCCTTCCTTTCTTTCTTTTCTGTCTTTCTTTTCTTTCTTTCTCTCTCTCTCTCTTTCTTTCCTTTTGGTGCTGACATTGGGGTTTGAACTAAGAGCCTTTTATCCTTGCTTGTGTACCAATTGAGCCATACAACTTCCACTTCAGGCTTTTTGCTAGTTAATTAGAGGTAAGAATCACATGAGTTTCCTGACTGAGGCTGGCTTCAAATCACAATCCTCAGATCTCACCTACTGAGTGGCTACAGTCATGAACTACCAGCACTTGTTTTCTTTCCTTCCTTCCTTCCTTTCCTTCTTTTTAACTTTTTTCTTTGTCTTCCTTTATTTCTCTCTTTCTTTCTTTATTTTTTTAAAATGTGATTGATTATTCTCAAATTTCATAGTATTGTGAGATAGTGATACTTAAAGTCACAAACACATTCTAACCTTCATGGGGCAAATTGTCTTTATGGTGGTCCATAACGTTTATGAATTCTATGAGCTTTGACAATACAGCTACCTCTTCTACATTGGGTGATATGTCCATTTCTTTCCTTTTGCTTGGTTAGCTGTTCCCTCTATCCCTCTCATTCCCCGCCCTCCCTCGCTGCCCTTGAGTTGCTTAGTTTGTTTGGATCAGTGTCCAGTGCAGCTCATGGGTCCCACTGTTGTTTCCCTCTGTTTCTGTCCTCCTCCTAGTTTCCCTCCAATGTGCACATATATTCCATATATGTGGTCAGCAGCATGGGGTCGTTTAGTAATGATACAACCAGATGAGTGGAGGTCCTTTGTCTCTAGAGTCTTGTTTACTTTGTTGTATCTCCTTACGTTTTGGATTTAACATCTACATACCAGGGAGACCATGTGCTGTTTGTCTCTTTGCTCTTGGCTTACCTCACTCAAAATAATTTTTTTCTAGTTTTATCCATTTCCCTACAAATGCCATTATTTTCTTTTTATTTTTTTTAAATAAATATTAGGTGCTGAGTACTGGCTGTGAACCCACTGCCTCGCTAAGTACTAGAATGTGACTAGATAAAAATGAACTAATTTCCTCCTTAGAAAGCTAAGAGTCTAGTGAGAGACAGCTTAAAAATAAATAAATAAATAAAGGTCCAACTACAAAATTATGCTACAAAGGAGCAGCATATGGTATCATAAAAAATATAAGGATCTGACAGAGAATGTGCTTTCTGGTTTTCTAGTGGTTAATTGGAGATCAGAGTCTCTCAGACTTTCCTGCCCAGGCTGGCTTCAAATTGCGATCCTCAGATTTCAGCCTCCTGAGTAGCTGAGATTACTGGCGTGAACCACCAGTGCTAGCACTTCTGACATTTTTAGAAAGTGGTTAACTAGAGATAAGAGTCTCATGGACTTTCTTGCCTCCTGAGTAGCTAAGATTACAGGCATGACCAACCAAGCACCTGACATCAATACTGTTTTATTTTTACACTTTTAGAACATCCAAATCTCAAAAGGTTTTGAATATAAACAGATAATTATGTAGTCATTCTAATCACTCCCCTTCGGTGTGCTTGTGTGTGCATGTGTGTGGGCACATGTGTGCTAGTACAGGGACTTGAACTGAAGGCCTGGGTGCTGTCCCTTAGCCTTTTCATGCTAGGCTGGTGCTCTACCACTTGCTTTACTTCTAGCTCTTTGGTGGTTAATTGCAGCTAAGAGTCTCATGGACTTTACTGCCCCGGCTGGCTTCAAACTTCAATCCTCAGATCTCAGTCTCCTGAGTAGCTAGGATTACCTGTGTGAGCCACCATGCATGTTTTTCTTTCCTTTTTTCTTTTTTGAATGATGTTAAATGACACAGATTTGTTTGTTTTCACAAAGCATAGGCTATGAATGCAACAGTCTGGGTTCAAATCTGTGCTCTGCATTTACTATCTGGGTATTCTTAATATGCTCTGAGCCTGATTTCCTCATCTATGAAATGGTGAAACCACTGATATAGACCTAAGTATTAAATAAGAATTCAAAAGGTAACATACAGAGCAGGCCCCTTCTGGGAAGGTAGCTCAGTGGTAGAGGCTGGCCTGGGTTCTGATCTCCATGAGGCCCTGGGTTCGATTCCTTAGCACCACATAAGAGGAAAAAGCCAGAAGTCAGGGCTAGGAAGGTGGCTCAGTGGTAGAGTGCTTGCCTTGCATGCATGAGGCCCTGGGTTCGATTCCTCAGCACCACATAAGCAAAAAGAAAAAAGCCGGAAGTGGTGCTGTGACTCAAGTGGTAGAGCACTAGCCTTGAGCTGAAGAGCTGAGGGACAGCGCCCAGGCCCAGAGTTCAAGGCCCCACAACCGGACCCCCAAAATAAAAAAAAAAGAAAGAAAGAGCAGGCCCGTTAGTCAAAAAGCTCGTGTGCTCTTACAGTGGAATTTTAACTTTTTTTTTTTTTCTTTTTTCTTTTTTTTTTTTATTGTAAAGCTACTATACAGAGGGGTTACAGTTACATGAGTGAGGTTATGAGTACACTTCCTCTTGAACATTGTTACCCCCTCCATTGTTTTCCCCCTACCATCCCCTCCCTCCCTCCCTTCCCCGAGGTTCTTTTTTTTTTTTTTTTTTGATTGTGATTAAATGATTACATAATTTCAAAGTCACAAGTTCATTCTAACTTCCCTGGAGCAAATTGTCTACCACAGTCTGTAATATATAACAGTGTTCACATGTTATATACCATATTTGTGATCAGCAGCATGAGGATATTTAGTAGTGGTTCAACCAGATGAGCGGGAGTTCTTTGTTTCTTAAGTCCTGTTAGTTTTGTCGTATCACCTAACCTTTTGGATTTAGCATCCACTTATCAGGGAGACCATGTACCGTTTGTCTCTTCGTTCTTGGCTGGAATTTTAACTTTTAATGCAGTCCTTTGGGCTGGGCACCAGTGGCTCATGTCTGTAATCCTAACTACTTAAGGAGACTGAGATTTGATGGTCACAATTAGAAGCCAGCTGGGACAGGAAAGTCCATGAGACTCTTAACCACCAGAAAACTGGAAGTAGAGCTGTGACACATAGTAAAATGTTAGCCCTGAGCTAAAAAGCTCAGGGACAGCACCTAGGACCTGAGTTCAAGTTCCAGGACAGGTACCAAAATAAATCAGTAAATAAATAAAGCAGCCTTTTGGTAACTAATCAAAGGGATTTGCATGTGCTTTGTACATGCTGGTTTTATAATGGAGTTGATTAAAAAATCAGGTAACTTTAGCTGGGTACTGGTGGCTCATGACAGTAATCCTAACTACTCCAGAGGTTGAGGTCTGTGGATCATGGTTTAAAGCCAACCTGGTCAGAAAAGTCTGTGAGAATCTCATCTCCAATTAACCACTAGAAAACTAGAAGTGGCACTGTGGCTGGAAGTGGTAGAGCACTAGCCTTGAGCCAAAGAGCTCAGGGACAGTGCGCAGGCCCCAAGTTCAAGGCCCAGGACCACCACCAACAACAACAACAAAAAAAAAATTAGGCAACTTACCTAAAAAATATAAGAGCATTTTGAAAAAACACAGCCAGTCCAGGATAAACATCAATGTCTGCACATACAAAGAAAAACAGATGAGAAGATTATAAAGACAAAAGGCCACAAGCCTTTGTAGATATAGCTTGGTGATACTTGCATAGAAGCATAAAACTGTGGGTGCAAGTAGGGCACTGTTGGCTCATGTCTGTAATTCTAGCTACTCAGGAGGCTGGAATTTAAGGACCACAGTTCAGAGCAGCTAGGGAAGACAAATACACAAGACCTTTAGTCTCCAATTGACCATCAAAAGGCTGGAGCTACATGGATGGCTCAAGTGGTAGAACACCAGCCTTGAGTGAAAAGCTAAACAAGAGCTTGAGGCCTTGAGTTCAAATCCCAACAATGGCATATACACATACACCAAAAAACCCTGGGTTCAATCCCTAGTCTAGGGGTGGGAAAGAGGAAGTACTTTGGACTTTTATATCTAGGATGGCTTTGAACCCTCATTATTTCTGGGTAGCTAGGATTATAGATGTGAGCTACTAGATCCTGGTCTCTCCTGCTCCCCTTGTTTTTGAAAGCTAAGTTAGTTGCACAAAGAGAAGCACTGTGATAATTACATACTTTTTGTGACAGGGTCCTAACATGAACCCCAGCATAGTCTCAAACTTGCAATCCTCCTACATCAGCCCCCTAAATGCTAGAATTATAGCATGCACCACCACACTTATATTCCTTTCAAAGAGTTATATTCCAGAACTAAGTGCTTTATTGGCATTTACTTTTTTAGTGATGGGAATTCAAACTATGTTCTGAATATGCTAAGCACATATTCTAATACCAAAATGTACCTCACCAGCCTTCCATTAATTTGTGTGTGTGTGTGTATGCGCATGTATACACATGTCAGTTATGGGACTTGAACTAAAAGCATGGATGCTCCCCCTGAGCTTTTTTGCTCAAGAATAGCCCACTACCACATGAGCCATCCCCACTTCTGGCTTTTTATAGTTAATTAGAGATAAGAATCTGAGGCTTTCCTACCCAGGCTGCCTTTGAATTGTAATCAGGAGATCTCAGCCTCCTGAGTAGTTAGGATTATAGGCATGAGTCACCAGTGTCAGCCTTTTTTTTGTCGGTCGTGGGGCTTGAACTCTGGGCCTGGGCACTGCTCTTCAGCTCAAGGCGAATACTCTACCACTTGAGCTACAGCACCACTTCCGGTTTTCTGGTGGTTTATTGGAGATAGGAGTCTCATGGTCTCTCCTGTCCGGGCTGGCTTTGAACCGCGATCCTCAGATCTCAGCCTCCTGAGTAGCTAGGATTACAGGTGTGAGCCACCAGCGCCCGGCACCAGTGTCAGCCTTTTAATTAACTGGAATGACACATTTTAGTAGTATTTGGTGAGCAATATTACTTAAACATTAGCCAACCATTGTCCTGTTGAGCTTTTACTTCTTTTGAGCCAAAGGGAAGCCAAACTATTGCAAAGGTTTATTTTTTGTTTTGTTTTGTTTTTTGTCGGTGGTGGGGCTTGAACTCTGGGCCTGGGTGCTGTCCCTGAGCTCTTCAGCTCAAGGCTAGCACTCTAGCACTTGAGCCACAGTACCACTTGCAGTTTTCTGAGTGGTTTATTGGAGCTAAGAGTCTCACGGACTTTCCTGCCTGGGCTGGCTTTGAACTGCGGCCCTCAGATCTCAGCCTCCTGAGTAGCTAGGATTACAGGCGTGAGCCACCAGCGCCTGGCTTGCAAAAGTTTTCTACTCATCAATGATGGAGATTTTTTTTTTTGGGGGGGTGGTCAGTTGTGGGTCTTGAACTCTGGGCCTGGGCGCTGTCCCTCCATTCTTCAGCTCAAGGTGAGTGCTCTACCACTTGAGCCACAGCACCACTTCTGATTTTCTAGTGGTTAATTGGAGATAAGGGTCTCATGGACTTTCCTGTCTGGGCTGGCTTTGAACCATGATCCTCAGATCTCAGCCTCCTGAGTAGCTAAGATTACAGGCATGAACTACTGGGTGCCCAGCTGACAGAGATTTAAGACCTACTGCCAATATTAGCAAAACAACACAAAACAAAATCAGCTGTGAGTGAGGATGAGTGGGTGTAACAGGTAAGTGCAGAAGGCTGACACACAGCTTCCAGAGGAAGCAGGGGGGGCGGGGCAGGGGATGAACACTCTATTCTCCTGTTTTTGAGCTAGTGACACGGGGTCTTCCGACGCTTCCAGAAGCAATGAATGCCCAGGCTGGGTTCTGCCTCTCCATCGCAGCCTGGCTAATATCTCCAGTTCTGGAACTGACAAAACTCAGAATGGTGTGACAGGTACACTCGCTGCCTCTGCTGCTTCTGCACAAAGGCAGCTCACATCGACAGTGCTGCCCTTTAAAAACAAAAAACAAACAACAAAACTCCCTCTGAGCATGACTGAAAACCATAGACTGTGTTTTAGAGAGAAGATGTGAATGGTAAAAAAAGATTTTGAGGTCCATACACTTAATCTGAAATCCTTGGGGCAAGACAAGCTTTGGAATTCAGATTTTTTTTCAGATTTAAGAACAGTGAAGTAGCCAGGCACCAGTGGCTCACGCCTGTAATCCCAGCTACTCAGGAGGCTGAGATCTGAGGATCTGGGTTCAAAGCCAGTCCGGGCAGTAAAGTCCGTGAGACTCTACCTCCAGTAAACCACTAGAAAACCGGAAGTGGTGCTGTGGCTCAAGCAGTAGAGCGCTCGCCTTGAGCTGAAGAGCTAAGGGACAGTACCCAAGCCCAGAGTTCAAGCCCCACAACCACCACCAACAACAACAAAAGAATAGTGAAGTAGGGCTGGGAAGGTGGCTCAGTGGTAGAGTGCTTGCGTCACATGCATGAAGCCCTGGGTTCCATTCCTCAGTACCACAAACACAGAAAAAGCTGGAAGTGGAGCTGTGACTGAAGAGGTAGAGCACTAGCCTTGAGCAAACAGAGGCTCAGGATCAGTGCTCAGGACCAGAGTTCAAGCCCCAGGACTGGCAAAAAATAAAATAAATAAATAAATAAGAATTTAGTGGGGCTGGGAAGGTGGCTCAATGGTAGAGCACTTGCCTTGCATGCCTGAGGCCCTTGGTTCAATTCCTCAGCACCACATAAGCAAAAAAGAAAAAAGCCGGAAGTGGTGCTGTGGCTCAAGTGGTAGAGCGCTAGCCTTGAGCTAAAGAGCTGAGGGACAGTGCCCAGGTCCAGAGTTTAGGCCCCAAGACCGGACCAAAAAAAAAAAAAAAAAGAATTTAGTGAAGTATACATATTGCATATCACAAAGCTGGATCTGGTCCAGCAATCCATAATCAAATTCATTTCAATTCATTTCCACAATAAAATACTTGACTACTTGCATTAAATAAGGATCCATAAATAAGCCAGCTGTCAAGTTAAGGTTTTGCTGACAAACTGCTGCCAAGCAGATGGCTAACACCTATAATCCTAGCTACTCAGGAGGAGGAAATCTAAGGACGATGATTCAAAGCCAGCCTGGGCAGGAAAGTCTGTGAGATTTTTATCTCCAAAACACCAGAAAACTGGAAGTGGAACTTTGGAACTAGCCTTAAGCAAAAAAGAGTTCAGGGACAGTACCCAGACCCTGAGCTCAAGCCCCACAACCAACCAACCAAAAAAAAAAAAAGTTTAGCTGGGCGCTGGTGGCTCATGCCTGTAACTTCAGGAGGCTGAGATCTGAGGATCACAGTTCAAAGCTGCCCCGGCAGAAAAGTCTGTGACTCTTATCTCCAATAACCACTAGAAAACCAGAAATGGTGCTGTGGCTCAAGTGGTAGAGTGTTAGCCTTGAGCTGAAGAGCACAGGAACAGTGTCCAGGCCCAGAGTTCAAGACCCATGATCGACCCCCCCACCCCAAAAAAATTTACTTCTAGCACTACATGGATTTCAGAATTGTCAGAAGTCTGAATATAGACCTGCATTAGTTTCTCACTGAACCAGTGAGAGCTCCAGCAAATGGGCCTTTGGTATAGGAACCTGGCTGTACAAGGTAAGAATCAGAAACTTTAGAGGTAGCTGTGAGCTACAGGCTTTGCCAGGGGTTGGTATTTCTTTACTGGACCATCCTACTATACAATGATGGATTTTATTAACAACTAGTAAATCTTCATCCAGAAGAGTAGTTTATGCTAACTCAGTAATTGGAGTTAGGGGCTGGGAAGGTGGCTCAGTGGTAGAGTGCTTGCCTCACATGCATGAGGCCCTGGGTTCAATTCCTCAGTACCACATAAGCAGAAAAAAGCTGGAAGTGGAGCTGTGGCTCAAGTGGTAGAGCGCTAGCCTTGCACTGAAGAGCTGAGAGACAGCGCCCAGGCCCAGAGTTCAGCCCTCACAACCGACAAAAAAAAAAAAAAATTGCTATTTTAGACTTAGCAGACTAAGCCAAATATAAAAGCCATCTATCAGAGTTCTGTGAAATAAAGGAATGCATACTTACTTTGGGTAACATATGCACCAAAAAGAATCCACATGGAAGCAATAAGCGACCCAAACATCAACATGAAACCAATGAAGAGCCAAACTCGAGCACCTGTGTGAAGAAGAGGCTTTATGACTGGGCTTGGCCAGACAGCCTGAAAGCAAATAGAAACTCCATCTTTACTTTCTATTAAAAATATATCATGGTAATAACCCATAATAATGTATGTAGAAAAGTCCTTAACAACAACAAAAGTCAAATAAATTACTGTGTACTTTTGTTGTTGTTGTTGACTGTGGGGCTTGAACTCAGGGCCTGGGCACTGTCTCTGAGCATTTTTGCTCAAGGATAGGGTTCTACCACTTTGAGAAACAATGCCACTTCCAGTTTTCTAGTGGTTAATAAGAGATAGGAAGAATCTCGTGCACTTTCCTGCCCAGGCTGGCTTTGAACCACAATCCTCAGAACTCAGCCTCTTGAGCAGCTAGGATTACAAGCCTGAGCCACCAGAGCCCAGCTACTATGTGCTTTACACATGATATTTTTGACTTACTAATTTCATCTTTCCCCTCCTTATTCTTGACATTACTGGTGAGGCTAAGGCACAGAATGAAGTGCCCATGTAATGTGCATTTTGACTTTAGACTCATCTGTTACTTGTCATCATTGCTCTTTTCCTCAATTTTCCATGGGTCCTGGTAGAAGTAAGGTTATAAAGTCTAAGTCAAGCCAGGTGCCTGTGGCTCACGCCTGTAATCCTAGCTACTTGGGAGGCTGAGATCTGAGGATCACGGTTCAAAGCCAGCCCAGGCAGGAAAGTCTGTGAGACTCTTATCTCCAATAAAACCACTAGAAAACCGGAAGTGTCACTGTGGCTCAAGTGGTAGAGCGCTCGCCTTGAGCTGAAGAGCGCAGAGACAGCGCCCAAGCCCAGAGTTCAAGCCCCACAACCGACCAAAAAATAAATAAAATAAACTCTATGTCAGCATTGAAAGCACCAGGTAGAAAGGAAAGCTAAGTTCTTCACAGTATTTTTATTTAGGGTAACATTTTCTCATACTAAACGTATGATTCTAGTTGTTAAAGTGTGGAAAAGGCAAAAACAATAATGATAAAAAGCAGATAAGAAATTGGGCATGCCTATAATCCTAGCTACTCAGGAAGCCAAACATGATCTAAGGATCTAAGGATCATGGTTAGAAGCCAGCCTGGGCAGTAAAGACTGTGAGACTCTTTGTTTTTTTTCTTTCTTTTTTTTCTTGTTGGTCATGGGGCTTGAAGTCTGAGCCTGGGCGCTGTCCCTGAACTCTTCAGCTCAAGGCTAGTGCTCTACCACTTTGAGCCACAGCACCACTTCTGCTTTTCTGGTGGTTAGTTAGCGCTAGGAGTCTCATAGACTTTAAACTATAATCCTCAGATCTCAGCCTCTAGAGTAGCTAGGATTACAGGCGTGAGCCACTGGCACTGACTGAGACTCTTAGCTCAAATTAACCACTAAAAAAAAAGTCAGACACTTCTGACTTCAACCCCAGGGACCAGAACAAAATCAAAGCAGATCAGTTGTGGCCAGGAGGTGGGGAGAAGAAAATGAACTATGAAAGACAATTTGGGGTAAGAGAAATGCCCTCTGTAACTGTGTGTGTTAACACATAGTCATGTTAACACATGACTACAGTTCCAGACTCAAAAGCCTGAGGCCTAATGTGTGAGACTTCAAGGTCAGTTTTGCCTTTGTAGTGAGAGAATGGTATATTAAGAAAACAAAACAAAACAACAACAGAAATATGGTCTGGGAATGTGGCTTTGTGGTAGAGTGCTTGCCTAACATGCATGAAGCCTTGGGTTTGATTCCTCATAAAACACATACCACATAAAACAGAAACCACATCAAACAGAAAAAGCCAGAAGTGGTGCTGTGGCTCAAGTGGTAGAGTGCTAAAAAGAAACTCAGGGACAGTGCCCAGGCCCTGAGTTCAAGCCATAGGCCTGGCAACAAACAAACAAAACAGAAATATGATCACCAGTGGCTCACATCTGTAATCCTAGGTACTCAAGAGGTTGAGATCTGAGGATTATGATTTAAAGCCAGTCTGGACAAGAGAGTCTATGGAACTCTTGTCTCCAATAAACTACCAATTGAGCTTCATGAAGTTCAAGTGGTAGAGTGCTAGTTTTGAGCCAAAGAAGCTTGAGAACAGTGCCCAGGCCCTGAGTTCAAGCTCCAGGACCAGTGCACAGGATAAAAAAAAAAAAAACCCAAACAAATCCATAAATAAATAATTTAACTAATTAATTAATTTTAAAGAAAAGCTGATACCAGTGGCTCCTACCTGTAATCCTAGCTACTCAGGAGGCTGAGATGTGAGGGCCGTGTTTCAAAGCCAGCCCAGGCAGGAAAATGTGTGAAACTCTTCTTATCTCCAATTAACCATCAGAAAACCAGAAGTGGTGCTGGGGCTCAAGTGGCTGAGTGCTCACCTTGAGCTGAAGAGCTCTGGGACAGAACTCAGGCCCAGAGTTCAAGTCCCACCACTGACAAAAAAAAAAAAAAGGGCTGGGAAGGTGGCTCAGTGGTAGAGCGCTTGCCTTGCATGCTCGAGGCCCTGGGTTCAATTCCTCAGCACCACATAAGCAAAAAAAAAAGAAAAAGCCGGAAGTGGAGCTGTGGCTCAAGTGGTAGAGCGCTAGCCTTGAGCTGAAGAGCTGAGGGACAGCGCCCAGGCCCAGAGTGCAGGCCCCATGACCGGACCCAAAAAAAAAAAAAAAAAAAAAAAGCCAGAAGTGGCACTGTGACTCAAGTGAGGAGCATTAGCCTTGAGCACAAAGAGGCTCAGGGACATTACCCAGACCCTGAATTTAAGCCCCAGGACTGGCAATAAACAAGTTAATTAAAATTAAAATTAAAGAAAATTTAAAGCTGGGCATAATGTAGTTTAGGTCCTAGCTTCTCAGGAAGCTGAGATCTGAAGAATGCAGTTTAAAGCCAGTCCAGGGAGAAAAGTCCCTGTGAGATTATCTCCAATTAACCACCCAAAAACTGGAAGTAGGGCTGGGAATGTGGCTTAGCGGTAGAGTGCTTGCTTAGTGTACATGAAGCCCTGGGTTCAATTCCTCAGGACCACATAAACAGAAAAATCCAGAAGTGATGCTATGGCTCAAGTGGTAGAGCACTAGTCTTGAGCAAAAGAAGCTCAGGGGCAGTGCCAAGCCCTGAGTTCAAGCCAGAGGACTAGCAAACAAAACAAAAAACTGGAAGTGGAGCTGTGACTCAAAGTAGTAGAGTGCTAGCCTTAAGCAGGGACAGCTCCCAAGCCCTGTGTTCAAGCCCCATAACTGACAGATAAAGAAAAGAAAAAAATCCTACATTATGAATGCAGTGATAATTACATAAACTAAACATTTAGTAAGATTCATTAAATTGCACACTATAAGCTAGAGGATTTTATTGTACATAAATTACATTCAATCAAGGTCAAAAAGAAATAAGCCATCTGGTTCTAAGCCAGACAAAGGAACCAAATGTCTATGCCTGGAAACAAGTACTGCACAGTGGCTGAGATCCAGGACACTAGAGCCAGACTATCCGTGTGCATTCCTGGCTCTACACTTGCTGTCCCATGGCCAGGTCCTGTACATGCTTTCATTACCTCACCTAAGGTTGAGGGCAATAGGACTCTTATTCACAGGCTGTCGAGACACATAAGTGAGTCAATATGGTGAGATACTCAGGCCAGATCCTGGCATATACCACATATTCTAGTTTGCTTTTATTCCTAATCATCCTTCAAATTCCTCTCCCACACTCTCTAAATTTCCAATTCTGACTACACATTCCCCCTCCCTGCCCCCGGAAGATGGGAAACTAGACCTGTTACATACTGAAAACAAACCCCCAGGCTCTTAATATGGTGGATAAAGGAAAACTTTTTTTTTTTTGGGTCCGGTCGTGGGGCCTGAACTCTGGGCCTGGGCACTGTCTCTCAGCTCTTCAGCTCAAGGCTAGCACTCTACCACTTGAGCCACAGCGCCACTTCCGGCTTTTTTTCTTTTTGCTTATGTGGTGCTGGGGAATCGAATCCAGGGCCTCATGCATGCAAGGCAAGCGCTCTACCACTGAGCCATCTTCCCAGCCCAAGGAAAACTATTTTGGAGGTAACAATTTAAAAGAATTCAAGCTAAAGAAAATTTATTTGTAGACAATAGCATGTTTCTTCAAAACCATTTAGTTCTGTGGAAATGACTCATGTAATTAGAACTGAATATGAAAAGCATAATCCTGAATTAGGTGCCCTAAAGTGTCCATTCCTGTGCTACCAGTGATCATGGCTAGCTATCTAAGTAATATTATTGGTCATTATTCATAACACTGGAACCTGGAGTCCATGATTCACTGATTTTGAATACATTTTATCTATTCTCTACTATCAGCAATGTAACAAAAATGGTAACTTTAATTTAAATTTATTTTTTTTTTGCCAGTCTTGGAGCTTGAACTCAGCTTTGGCACTGTCCCTGAGTTCCTTTTTTGCTTAAAGATAGCATTCTCTTGAGCCATGGCACTAGTTCTAGCTTTTTCTGTGATTAATTGAAGATAAGAGTCTCATGGACTTTACTGCGCAGGCTGGCTTTGAATCTCCATCTCAGCCTCCTGAGTAGCTAGGATTACAGGCTTGAGCCATCTGTACCTGGCAATTTAACTCTTTTCTTAAGGATTTAAATGTACATTTTCTTGCTTGGCTCATGTTTTACCACTTGAACCATGCCTCTGGACTCAATGGCCAGCCATGGCTAGCTTCACATAGGAATCCTTCGGATCTTAGCCTGTTGAATAGCTAGGGCTACACATGTAAGCTATCATTAACTTTTCAAAAGCTAATAACTGTTGTACATTATCACTATCAGCCAGTCCCACATCAATGTTGGAGGTTTGGTTTTCTGCTGATAAGTTCCTATTTTTGCAGCATCATTAACAGCGCAACACAATTACTCATTATAATACATGTTAACAGCTCATTAATAGTCCTTTTACCTGTTCTTCCTAAACAGCCGCTTTCATAGCTGTCACCTCTCACCTGAGCATTGGACACAGCATTTATCCTAGAAGACACAAGTCATCCAATGAGCTTTCATGCTATTTAAATACTCACAGGTATTTACAGGTCCTTAACAGAGAAACAAATTTATGTCCCAACTAAAGTTAAATAACCGAAATAAATAAACAGCAATCCCAGGGGATAGAACTGTTACTTTCATTTTATTTTTTTCTTCTAAAGTACTCCAGAGATTATGAAAGAACAGCTAGTTTTCACACATCTTTGGTAATTTATATACCTAACACATAAAAGACTCTGGGCTGTCCCATTTTAGAATTCTCTGAGTTTTGGGGGTTTTTTTTGGTCAGTTGCGGGGCAATCCAGGTGCTGTTCCTGACTTTTGTGCTTAAGGTTAGCACTGTACCACTTGAGCCACAGATCCACTTCTGGCTTTTTGGTAGTTAACTGGAGATGAGAGTTTCATGGACTTTCCTGCTCTGGCTGGCTTTGAATCCTGATCCTCAGATCTCAGCCTCCTGAATAGCTTGGTGAGCCACTGGTACTTAGCCTTCAAAAAGTAATTTTGCCAGCCACTGATGGCTTATGCCTGTAATTCTAGCTACTCAGGAAGCTGAGATCTGAGGATTGGGGTTCAAAGCCAGCCTGAGCAATTAAGTCCATCAGACTCTTTTTTTTTAATTGTGAAAATATTGTACAGAGGAGTTACAATTACATGGGCAAGATAATGAGTACATTTCTTATCAAGCATTGTAGCCTCCTCCTTTGTTTCCCCTTCCCATCCCTTTCCATCCTCCCCCCCCACACACACACCAAAGTTGTAAAGTTTGTTTTCAACATAACGACTTGTACATCTCGTCCATGAGACTCTTATCTCCAATTAACCACCGGAAAACCAGAAGTGGCACTACAGCTCCAGTGGTAGAGTACTCGCCTTGAGCTGAGGAGCTGACAGACAGTACCCAGGCCCAGAGTTCAAGTCCCACAACCGACAAAAAAACAAAAAGTAATTTTGAATTTTGAATTTAGAATACCTTTATACTTACATAAAGAAAGCCAATGTGGAAAATACACCACACGTGTGAAAAGCATGGTTTAAGTCTTGTGGATATACCACCGCTGCATCAATCATGATCCACCAACCTGTAAAAAACTTAAGAAGAAAGCCCAAGATATTAAAACACTAAAAGTCTAACTTAGTACAATACCTGCTGCTTGACACTTTTGTTGTACAGATTATATAGATGACAAAATATTCCCACTCTGAGTTTTGAATGGTGAAATATAAAAATAAGGTGCCCGGGAGTCAAGATGGCAGAATAGAGGCGTTCCCCATTGCACTCTGTGGATGAGAAAAGTCTGAGAAACAAAGGAGAGGCTACATTTGGGAGAGCAAAACTGAGGAAAAACATTGAGAATTACAAAAGAACAGAACAGCTGAAAAGTGTAGTAGAACAGAAAAGCAACTGTGAAGACTAGATGCAATGTCTAGGCACAGCCCTGTCTCCCGTGAGTGGAGAAGAGACTCAAGTGCCCAACAGAAGGTCAGCTGAGTGACCTCCTTGACACACCAACAGACTTAGCTGTGGGACTAATCCTTAATTCCTACAAGCATCACATTCTGTGCAGGGATTTGGGAGGAAAGTGACTTTGTCATGGTGGCAGGCCAGGATCAGGTAAGACAGCTTTTAGCGTCCAATATCAGGAGAGCAGAAGCAAGGTACCATCTTGTGGGAGGGTCTTCTGCTTGAGACTGAGATATTCAGAGAACCAGATTACATTAGCTACAGGCAAGTAAGCTGTAGCCAATCAGGCTTTGAGACTGAGACACCAGTGGAAACAAAGAAACAGTGATTTGTGTATCTTCAGCAACCAGGTGGCTAAAAGCTATCCATAAATTACATAGAGAGGAAGGGACCAGACCCTTCTCAGTGAGACTAACTTCACAGTTGCTCTCCAACTGATCAATTTGAAGGCAAAATATCGAGGCTCAAGGACAACATAGATGTATTAGAATAGCCAAGGAAAGAGAGTTCTGGCTCAAAGGGATAGTGTACTAGCCTTGAGCATAAAAGCTCAGGGACAGTGCCCAGGCTCCAACTTCAAGCCCAGGACTGGGGCAAAATGACAGCAACAACAAAATCAGGGTTGGCGGTTGGCTCAGTTGGAAGAGCACTAGACAATGAGAAAAAGTACCAGGTACCAAGTTCAAGTCCTGGACTCATTTAAAAAAAAAAAAAGAACAGCCTACAGCCAGCTGATATTCGACAAAGGAGCCAAAGACATACAATGGAAGAAACACAGCCTCTTCAACCGCTGGTGCTGGGAAAACTGGGCAGCCACATGTAGAAAACTAAAAGTGGACCCCAGCCTATCACCATGCACCAACATCAACTCAAAATGGATTAAAGACCTTAACATTAAACCTGAATCTCTGAAGCTATTGCAGGACAGAGTAGGAGAGACACTTGAACTAACAGGCACAGGAAGGAACTTCCTGAACAGAGTCCCAGGGTCACAACAAGTTGGAGAGAAACTCGACAAATGGGACTACCTTAAAATAAAAAGCTTCTGCACAGCTAAATCTATCGCAACTAAGCTAGAAAGACAACCAACAAATTGGGAAAAAATATTTACCAGCAATATATCAGACAAGGGGTTAACATCCTGTATATACAGGGAACTCAAGAAACTAATCCCTCCCAAACCTAACAAACCAATTACTAAATGGGCAAGGGAACTAAAGAGAGACTTCTCAAATGAAGAAATAAAAATGACAAAGAAACACATGAAGAAATGTTCATCATCCCTGGTGGTGAAGGAAATGCAAATAAAGACAACCCTGAGATACCACCTTACCCCAGTCAGAATGTCCCACATCCACAAATCAGCCAATGACAAATGCTGGAGGGGATGTGGAGAAAGAGGAACCCTATTACACTGCTGGTGGGAATGTACACTTATACAACCACTTTGGAAAGCAGTCTGGAGGGTCCTTAGAAAGCTAAAGATTGACCTCCCTTACGACCCAGTCATACCACTTCTAGGCATCTACCCTGAACAACAGGAACCAATATACAAGGACACATGCACCTCCATGTTTATTGCAGCACTGTTCACAATAGCTAGGATATGGAAACAACCTAGATGCCCCACCACAGATGAATGGATCCAAAAATTGTGGTATCTATGCACAATGGAATATTATGCAGCCATTAGAAATGACAAAATAATGGCATTTGCAGGAAAATGGATGGAGCTAGAAGGAATCATGTTGAGCGAGGTAAGCCAAGAACGAAGAGACAAATGGTACATGGTCTCCCTGATAAGTGGATGCTAAATCCAAAATGTTAGGTGATATGACAAAACTAACAGGACTTAAGAAACAAAGAACTCCCACTCATCTGGTTGAACCACTACTAAATATCCCCATGCTGCTGATCACATATATGGTATATAACATGTGAACACCGTTATATATTACAGACTGTGATAGACAATTTGCTCCAGGAAAGTTAGAATGAACTTGTGACTTTAAATGAGCATCATTATTCCACAATACTGTGAATTTCCGGAAATTATGTAATCACTTAATCACAATCAAAAAAAAAAAAAAGAACCTCGGGGAAGGTAGGGAGGGAGGGGATGGTAGGGGGAAAACAATGGAGGGGGTAACAAACTCATTACCTCACTCACCTCTGTATAGTATCTTTACAATAAAAAAAAAAAAAAAAGAACAGTCAAATGAAGCATTAGGAAAAAAAATAATGTGAGTAGGAAATGTAAAAACCTCTGGGAAACTATCAAGAGACCAAACTTAAGAATCATTGGAAGCCGGGCGCTGGTGGCTCACGCCTGTAATCCTAGCTACTCAGGAGGCTGAGATCTGAGAATCGCGGTTCAAAGCCAGCCCGGGCAGGAGAGACCGTGAGACTCCTATCTCCAATAAACCACCAGAAAACCGGAAGTGGCGCTGTAGCTCAAGTGGTAGAGCGCTCGCCTTGAGCTAAAGAGCTGAGGGACAGCGCCCAGGCCCAGAGTTCAAGCCCCATGACCGACAAAAAAAAAAAAAAAAAAAAAGAATCATTGGAATAGGGGCTAGGAAGGTGGCTCAGTGGTAGAGCGCTTGCCTTGCATGCTCAAGGCCCTGGGTTCGATTCCTCAGCACCACATAAGCAAAAAGAAAGTGGCACTGTGGCTCAAGTGGTAGAGTGCTAGCCTTGAGCTGAAGAGCTGAGGGACAGCGCCCAGGCCCAGAGTTCAGGCCCCACGACCGGACCCAAAAAAAAAAAAAGAATCATTGGAATAGAAGAAGTAAAAGCTAAAGGAATAGAAAATATATTCAATAAAATAATGGGAGAAAACTTCCCAAATCTTGAGAAAGATGTAGCTACGTAAGCACAAGAGATGTACAGGACACACAACAAATAAAAAAAGAAGCACCCCAAAACAAACCATAGTTACATAAAGCTAGAAGAAAGATCCAAATCATAGGCAAAATAACAATGAATTTCTCATAAGAAATCACTAATGCAAGGTGGATATGGGATTATATATTTGAAATACTGAAAAGTAAACAATTGTTAACCTAGATTAATTAACTTAATTAAGTTATTATTCATAACTGAGGGTCATAAAAAGTCTTCCATGATAAAGCAATGTATGACCATTAAATCAGCATCACAGAAGATATTTAACACAATCATTCTGGGCCTGAACGTTGTCCCTCAGCTCTTCAGTTCAAGGCTAGCACTCTACCACTGGAGCCATAGCGCCACTTCTGGCTTTTTCTGCATATGTGGTGCTGAGGAATTGAACCCAGGGCCTCATATATGCAAGGCAAGCACATTAACACTGAGCCACCTTCCCAGCCATTTAATCAATCTTACATACAGAAGAGGAAGATAAATGTAACCTTGAAAATAGGAGAAGAAGCCGGGCGCCAGTGGCTCACACCTGTAATCCTAGCTACTCAGGAGGCTGAGATTTGAGGATCGCAGTTCAAAGCCAGCCAGGCAGGAAAGTCCGTGAAACTCTTTTTTTTTTTTTTTTTTTGGGGGGGGGGGGGGGTGTTCGGTCGTGGGCCTGAACTCTGGGCCTGGGCGCTGTCCCTCAGCTCTTCAGCTCAAGGCTAGTGCTCTACCACTTGAGCCACAGCTCCACTTCTGGCTTTTTTCTTTTTGCTTATGTGGTGCTGAGGAATCGAACCCAGGGCCTCAGGCATGCAAGGCAAGCGCTCTACCACTGAGCCACCTTCCCAGCCCAAGTCCATGAAACTCTTATCTCCAATAAACCACCAGAAAATCGGAAGTGGCGCTGTAGCTCAAGTGGTAGAGTGCTAGCCTTGAGCTGAAGAGCCGAGGGACAGCGTTCAGGCCCCAAGTTCAAGGCCCACGACCGACCCTGCCCTCCCCCCCCAAAAAAAGAAAAGAAAATAGGAGAAGAGGGCTGTGAATGTGGCTTAGTAGTAAAGTGCTTGCCTAGAATGCATGAAGTCCTGGGTTTGATTCCTCAGTACCATATAAACAGAAAAATCCAGAAGTGGTGCTGTAGCTCAAGTGGTAGAGTGCTAGCCTTGAGCAAAAGCAGCTCAGAGACAGTGCTCAGGCCCTGAGTTCAAGCCCCAGGACTGACAAAAAGAAAAAGAAAAGAAATAAAATACGAGAGAAAATAAATCCCATCAGATAAACAAATAAAGGAAAGCGCCAAATACTACAAAAAAGTGCTAAGAATTATCACATATTCTTCAGTAATAACACTAAACATTAATAATCTCCATTGTCTAATCAAAAATCATAGAATAACAAGTCAGATTAAAAAACATCCAATCATTTATTGCCTACAAGAATGCATCTGACTGACAAAAACAAACATTGGCTTAGGGTGAAACAATAAAAAAAGATCTACCAAGCAAATGAATCCAGAAAGTAGGCAGAATAGCTATACTTCTCTCTGATAAAGTAGATTTCAAACCAAAATCAGTCAGAAGAGACAAAGAAGATTACTTTGTATTAATAAAGGAAATCCAGGAGCTGGGAAGATGGCTCAGTGGTAGAGCGCTTGCCTTGCATGCCTGAGGCCCTGGGTTTGATTCCTCAGCACCACAAAAGCAAAATGAAAAAAGCCGGAAATGGCGCTGTGGCTCAAGTGGTAGAGCGCTAGCCTTGAGCTGAAGAGCTGAGTGACAGCGCCCTCGCCCAGAGTTCAGGCCCCACGACCGGACCCAAAAAAAAAAAAAAAAAAAACAGGAAATCCATCAAGAGGAGGTAACAATTGCTAAAGGCAATTTTCAGAATACAAAGTCAACACACAAAAAGTTTATTTTGGAGGTGCTGGTGGCTCTTTTGAGAATACAAAATCAACACACAAAAAGTTTATTTTGGAGGTGCTGGTGGCTCATGCCATAATCCTAGCAACTGAGGAGGCTGAGATCTGAGTATTATGGCTCAAAGCCAGCCTGGGCAGGAAAGTCTGTGAGACTCTTCTCTCCAATTAACCACCAGAAAGCCAGAAGTGGCGCTATGATTCAAGTGATAAAGCACAAGCCTTTAGCAGAAAGGAGCTCAGGGATAGTGCCCAAGCCCTGAGTTTGAGCCCCAGAACCAGCAGCAACAACAACAAAACAACAAAAAGCACATTATCTTTTTCTATACATTAAAAATGAGCAAGCTGAGAAAAAAATCAGGAGAAATCAACAGAGTTCAGCAAAACTATGGAATGCTGAAGAGGAATTTGAGGAAGACTCCACAAGCTGAAAAGACCTGCCATGCTCATTTATTACAGAATCAATATCATGAAAATGACAATGCTACTGAAAGCAACCTATAGATTTTATATAATCCCCACAAAGTTCCAATGTCATTCTTCACAAAAATAGAAAAATCAATCATTAAATTCATATGAGGGCTGGGAAGGTGGCTCAGTTGTAGAGCGCTTGCCTTGCATGCATGAGGCCCTGGGTTCGATTCCTCAGCACCACATAAGCAAAAGAAAAAAGCCAGAAGTGGCGCTGTGGCTCAAGTGGTAGAGCGCTAGCCTTGAGCTGAGGGACAGCGCCCAGGCCCAGAGTTCAGGCCCTACGACCGGACCCAAAAATAAATAAATAAAAAAATAATAAATTCATATGAAATCACAAAAGACCCTAAATATCCAAAGTAATTTTGATTTTTAAAAGTGCTGGAGGTATCATAATGATGGGCTTCAAATTATACTATAGAGCCAAGGGAAAAAAAAAGATGGTACTGGCACAAAAACAGACACGAAGACCAATGGATCAGAAGACACAAAAATAAATCTATGCAGCCACAGGCTCCTGATTTTTGACCAAGGAATCTAAAATATGTGACATTAACTAGCCTCTTCAATAAATAGAGCTGGGAAAATTGGATAACCACATGAAGAAAATTGAAAGTCGGTCTCTATCTCACACTCTGTACAAGTATCAATTCAAAGTAGATAAAGGATCTTAATGTAGAATCTAAAACTTTGAAACTACTACAGGAAAGAATAGGAAAAACACTAGAAATACTGGTGTGGCTCTTCCTAAAGAACTCTAATGGATAAAAGGCTTCTGCACAGTAAATCATTACTAAGAGTTAGCATATGGAATGGGAGACAAATTTTGCCTGTTATACATTCAACAAGGGATTAATAACCAGAAGATTCAGAGAGCTAAAAACAACAACAACAACAACAACAAAAACTAAGCCCCCAAAGAATCAACAATCCAATTAATAAATAAATGAACAGGGCTGGGAAGGTGGCTCAGTGATAGAGCGCTTGCCTTGCATGCATGAGGCCCTGAGTTCAATTCCTTAGCACCACATAACCAGAAAAAAAAAAGCCGAAAGTGGCGCTATGGCTCAAGTGGTAGAGTGCTAGCCTTGAGCTGAAGAGGGACAGCACTCAGGCCCAGAGTTCAGGCCCATGACTGGAACCAAAAAATAAATAAATAAATAGAACAGACAATTTTCAAAACAAGAATACAAATGGTCAAAATACATTAAGTGTTCAACAAATGCAAATGCAAATCAAAACAACACTGAGATTTCATCTTACTCCAGTCAGAATGGCCGTCATGAAGAATACAATAACAGATGTTGGCAAGTATATGGGGACAAAGGAACTCTTTGGACTGTTGGTGGAAATATAAACTAATGAAACCACTATAGAAGTCAGTATGGTCCTCAAAAAGCTAGAAATACAATATGATCCAGTGATACTGCTCTTGGGCATATAACCAAAGGAATGGTAAGTGATGATACAAAAAAAGCCCTTGTAGCCAGGTGCCAGTGGCTTATGCCTGTAATTCTAGTTACTCAGGAGGCTGAGATCTAAGATCTGAGGATCCTAGTTCAAAGCCAGCTGGGGAAAAAAAAGTCTGAGACTCTTACCTCTAATAAATTACTCAGAAAAAATGGCAAGTAGTGTTGTGGCTCAAGGGGTAGAGCAGAAGCAGCTCAGGGACAGTGCCCAGGCCCTGAGTTCAAGCCCTAGGACACACACACACATTTATTGCAGAACTATTCATACCACACAGCAATGGAAAGGTTCCCCATAACTGATAAATTCATTAAGAAAATGTGGTATAGTGCTGGTGTCTCAAAACTATAATCTTACAAACTCAGGAGGCTGAGATCTGAGGATCAAGGTTTGACAGCAGCTCAGACACAAATCTGAGAGACTCTCATCTCCAATTAGCCAGCAAAATGCTGGAAGTGGAAGTGTGACTCAAGTGGTAGAGTTGCCAGCCTTGAACAAAAAAGCCAAGCAAAGCCAGGCACCGCTGTCTCAGGCCTGTAATCCTAGCTACTCAGGAGGTTGAGATCTGAGAATCGCAGTTCAAAGCCAGCCTGGGCAGGAAAGTCCGTGAGACTCTTATGTCCAATAAACTACTAGAAAACCGGGAGTGGCGCTGTGGCTCAAGTAGTAGAGCACTCGTCTTGAGCTGAAGAGCTGAGGGACTGCGCCCAGGCCCAGAGTTCAAGCCCCACAACCAACAACAACAAAAAGCCAAGCAAGAAAGGCCCTGAGTTCAAGTTCCAGTAAGGGAACACACAGACACAGACACACACACACACACACACACACAGACACAGACACACACACACACACACACACACACACACACACACACACACACACACCATCTACAAAATTCTACGGGGCTGGAAAGGTGACTCAGTGGTAGAGTGCTTGCCTCACAGGCATGAGACCCTGGGTTCGGTTCCTCAGCACCACATAAGCAGAAAAGGCCGGAAGTGGTGCTGTGGCTCAAGTGGTAGAATGCTAGCTGAAGAGCTGAGGGACAGCACCCAAGCCCAGAGTTCAGGCCTCATGATCAACACACACACACAAAAAGTCACAATTAAAAAATTCTGCATATTTTTTACAATTATCTTCAGTCCTACTCTGCTTTCATTTGTTTGAATAAATTTTATTTTTTCTATTGAAGTCTGAGTGTAGAAATGTATATGAAAAGAAATGACTGATAAAAATATAAGATGCTGAAGCTGGGTGCTGGTGGCTCACACCTGCAATCCTAGCTACTCAGGACGCTGAGATCTGAGAATCACACTGTTCAAAGCCAGCCAGGCAGGAAAGTCCGTGAGACTCTTATCTCCAATAAACCACTAGAAAACCAGAAGTGACGCTGTGGCTCAAGTGGTAGAGCACTTGTCTTGAGCTGAAGAGCGCAAGGACAGTGCCCAAGCCCAGAGTTCAAGCCCCATGACCAACAAAAAAAAAGAAAAGAAAGAAATATATATGATGCTAAAATGTGTTTCCAATAATGTAGTTAGTAGACGCAGGAGATGGCTGACAGAATATAAAGTTAGACATTTGCTTGTTTTTGAAGCTGTACAGTAAGTAGAAGGGGAAAGGGAGGAGAAAGGATTTATATAGCATTCTCTACTTTTGTATACTTTTTGTATACTTTTACATTTGCAGTACAAAAATCTTAAAAAGGAAATAATGCAAACAAAATTAAGCAAAAATTTCCTCTACAAAGTTCTTCCTCCTCTGGTGCCCAATGCAGTAACTTGGGAAACAGAGATGATATCACTTGGGGAAGAGCAGCTGCAGAGATTCTGTTCTACCACAGACTAAGGTGTGACTGCTGGCTACATAGCCTAGCTTTCCCCCCGACCCCGATTCTGGTTCTGGGGCTTGAACTCTTGGTCCCTGAGCTTTTGTGCTCAAGACTCAAGGCTAGTGCTCTACCATTTGAGCCACAGCTCCACTTTCAGATTTTTTTTTTTGTAGTTAATTGGAAAGAATAGTCTCATGGACTTTCTTGCCTGGGCTGGCTTCAAACTGTGATTCTCAGGTCTTAGCATCCTGAGTAGCTAAGATTACAGGTGTGAGCCATAAGCACCCGGCTATATAGCCCACCTTTAAGGAACAACGATAACTCTGGGTAACATCAAACTTGTATACTCTGCACACCTGTAAGTAGCTACACATACTGTATCATTAAGTTTAAAATGCTGCTGCCTATATTACTATAGGCATACTATTACTAGAACTGAAGAAAAGATGCTAAGTTTAACAAAACTCACAAAACCAAATAAACCCAGATCCTACCAAGTTTTGTAGTTAAAAAAAATAGTATTAGGAATCCTGATAATTCTGCAAAATATCAGTGAAATAAAATAGTTCACAGTTCAAAGGAAATCAACACTAATTTCCCCAGGCACACGCTAGGTATAAACATCTTCTCATTTAGCAGGGCTTGCACACTTACCAATATGCCTGCGACCACAGAAGCCACAGCATTTCTTCTCTCACTCCAATCAATACATTCACACTCTGGCCAACGGAAATTATCTAGGAAGCCTGCCATTTTTACTCCGTAAGCATGAATCTTGTATTAAAAGACTGTATCCTACAACCAAAAAAGACAAAAAAAGAATAATCAACCTAAAGAAATGTTTTAAGAACTAATGAAGTACCTCAATCCTTTCTTAAAGCTTTAAATATAAACTTAGATCCTGTTTTAAGAAATTAAGAAAAACACATTATTTCGGTAAGTACCAATTGAGACATGTGTAGGCCTTAGGGGATGGGGGCAACTTAGTGGTAAAGCACATTCACACAGGAAGCCCTGGGTTTGATGCTTGGCACCACAAAAGAAAACACAACAAAAGCAACAATTTTGTCAGTAAATTCTTTGATACTTTTCTTGCTGAGGGGTGGACTGTGTCACAACTCCTGAATTTGAGTCAAACATAAATATTAACCAAACCAGAGGAAGTTATGCTGTGTAACTCCTGCCACGCAACTTCCCAGATTACGGCAGAGACAGCAGCAATGTAGCTTCCATCTGGCGGATTTAACATCAACTGCCAAATGGCTGAGTTGTAATGTTCCTTTCTTCTTTCTTTTTTTGGTCGGTCGTGGGCTTGAACTCTGGTCCTGGACATTGTCCCTCAGCTCTCAGCTCCAAGCTAGTGCTCTACCACTGGAGCCACAGTGTCACTTCCAGCTTTTTCTGTTTATGTGGTGCTCTGGAATCAAACCCAGGCCCTCATGCATGTGAGGCAAGCACTCTACCACTGAGTCACCTTCCCCGTCCGAGTTATAATATTTCTAAGTGCTGCTATCTGAGCTGTATCATCACTTCCAAACTTTGAGCCCTAGAAAAACTCTAAGATGCCAGATACATGAAATAGAGTGCTGACCCACATAATCTAGTACGTATAATAAGATGGCCGTTGTAAGCCACTAGACTCTGAGTTAATGCAGCAATAGATAACAAAGGAGAGAAAGGTTGTGAATAAAGAACTAAATGAAACATACTATGGAAATCTTCAAAAAACAAGAGATTGTGTTCAATAGGAGACTCAGAACCAACACAAATTCTAAAAAGATTTGAAAAATATTGGCAATTACTCTTTGAAGAGAAAACAGAATCTGAAAGGGATTTTACCCTTGAAAGAAAGAAAACCCATGATAGCATCTATTTTTAATTTTTATTTATTTTGTTGGTCATGGGGCTTGAACTCTGAGCCTGGGCGCTGTCCCTCAGCTCTTTAGCTCAAGGCCAATGCTCTACCACGGGAGACATCGTGCCACTTCCAGTGTTCTGAGTGGTTTATTGGAGATAAGAGTCTCATGGACTTTCCTGCCAGAATGGCTTTGAACCATGATTCTCAGATCTCAGCCTCCTGAGTAACTAGAATTACAGGCGTAAGCCACCGGAACCCAGCTAGCATCCATTTTATATAGCTTTTCCCTATAGCAAACCCATGCCAATCCCATTCCCAACTCCCTGTGGTACAGAGTAGCTAAAACTCAAGCCAAAGCCATAGGACTACTGGCTTAAGATGTCAGAAGACAGAAGTCCAGAACTGGCAGAGCAGCTGGAAATCCAGGGGGAAATTATGGAAAGGAGTAAGATAGAAAACCTTAAACACTTCAATATACACCCCTGCTCATTTCTGACCAATTCCTTCCTACCCAGTAGATGCAGACTCCAAAGCAAAACCCCCCAACAACACAAAAACCAAAACAGCTGGATGGCTAAAATAGCTGAGAAGAGATTCCAGCTGTTGCCCACCAATATGCAAGACATTTTGGAGTTTCAGTGCTGCCAAGTGAGGTAGGGCTGGAAAACACCCTGGGATTTTCCAGACACCCTGAACAATACCAAGTCTTCACGATTTCAAGGTGACCAGGCAATACTTTAAACCCATAAAACAATTAAAAGCACTATTTAATCAACATAGTATGTGGATATATTAATGAATTATTAATGAAGGATTAAATAGTAACTAGTTAAAAGCAAGTGTAAGGAAGGACATCATTAATTTAACTGTTACATGTTAATGTTCTGGTTAAAGGTTAAAACAATGAAATTTATTTCCTCTATGAAGTTCATTGTAATGTCATTTTCTATATAGCCTCTTATAAATGCTTTTTTTGGTCAGTCATGGGGCTTGAACTCTGGGCCTAGGCCAGTGCTCTACCACTTGAGCCAGCTTGAGCACCACTTCTGGTTTTCTGGAGTTAATTGGAGATAAGAGTCTCATGGACTTTCCTTGCCTGGGCTGGCTTTGAACCACAATCCTCATATCTCAGCCTCCTGAGTAGCTAGGATCGCAAGTGTGAGCCACCAGAGCCAGGCATAAATGGTTCTTTAAGCATAAAATACATAGCACACACACACACCCCTCTCATATTTGCACAACTGGGTAGACAGGTGCTTTACTACTTGAGCCATGCCTATAGCTCTTTATTTTTTTTATTTTTTGTTATTATAACAGTGATGTACAGAGGGATTAAAAGTATATAAGTCAGGTAAAATGTATATTTCTTTTGGACAATGTTACCCTTTCTCTTACTCTCTCCCAGTTTTTACCTTATTTTTGAAATAGGATCTATGGTTTATGCCAGGATTGTCATTCACCTATTTGTGATACTTGTATAGCTGGGATGACAGGCACTTACCACTTCAGTTATTCCTGGTTAAGATGGAGTCTTCAAAACTCTTTTATTTATTTTTTTGTCGGTTGTGGGGCCTGAACTCTGGGCTTGGGTGCTGTCCCTCAGCGCTTCAGCTCAAGGCTAGCACTCTACCACTTGAGCTGAGAACCACTTCTAGCTTTTTCTGTTTATGTGGTACTGAGGAATCGAACCCAGGGCCTCATGCATGCAAGGCAAGCACTCTACCACTGAGCCACCTTCCCAGCCCTCTTCAAAACTTTTTGCTCAGGCTGGCCTGGAAGTGCAATCCTCCAGATCTCTACTTTTCGGGCTCTCTACTTATCAAGTAGCTAGATTACAGGTGTGAGCGTCCATGCCCAGCTATTTTTAGAGTGAAAATAACTAACCTGTTGGAGACAGGATCATCAATGATTGTTTAGCTTTATCCTGGAAACCAGGGATTGGTAAATATTTTCTGAATGAACCAGAGAGTGGAATTCTACCAACTCAAGAGGCTGAGATCTCAGGATTGCCCTTTGAAGCCAGCTCAGGCAGAGAAGTCCTTGAGACTCCAATTAACCACCAATAATCCACAAGTGAAGATAAGTTTAAGTGGTAGCATGTCAGCCTTGAGGGAACAAGCCCAGTGAGGGTGAAAGGCCCCATGTTCAATTATCCTGTGTACACACACACGAAGAACCAGAGAGTAAACAATTCAGGTTTGGTGGGTCATACCACCTTAGTCACAACTATTCAATTCAGAGCATGAAAGCAGACATATGTAGAGCATAAATAAATTAGCATGGCTATATTCCAATTAAGACTTGTATTTACAAAAGCAGAAGCCACAATGCAATGCCAATGGCTTATGCCTATAATTCTCGCTACTTTAGGAGGCTGAGACTTGAGGATCACAGTTTGAAGCCAGCTGGCTCCATGAGACGCTTATCTTCAATGAACCACCAAAAAGCCAGAAGTGGTGCTGTGGCTCAAAGTGAGTCAGTCTTGGGTGAAAGTGACAGTGCCAAGGCCCTGAGTCCAAGTCCCAGAACTGACCCCCCCAAAAAAAGAAGTAGCCAGTCAGAATTGCCCACATGATCCTTTCAGGATCCATGTTCTAAGCAATAGGGAAACACAAAGGTTTATAAGCAAGGAGTGACAGGATCAAGTCTGTCATTTTAGAAAGGTAATCTTAGTGACAAAGTGTAAAAGAGGAACTGAAGAAAACCATAAAAGAGAACTACCTGCCATCATTCTAAACAGGGAAAGAATGAGGATGTAAGTGGAGGTCAAACTGCACAAAGCTACAAAAATGATTTTGATTAGAGAAATATTGAACCAGTATTAGCAATAAGGCAGGAAGTAGTTACAGGGCTGTTATAGGGTTTCTTGGCTAAAGCCTTGACTGACCCTTAATGAAAACGGAGAGCACAGAAAGGAAAAATGGGAGAGAATTAGTTTGAAGGCTGTACATTTGATATGCCTGCAGGACATGGTACGGGTAGAGATGGAGGGAAGACAGCTGGTTTAAGACAGAGACCATAGATTTGAGTTTCTTAGTAATGAAATGTACCTTAAGTCACCAGTGCAGCTAAGTATCTCAGGGAGAAAATGTGGAGGTCCTTGTATCAAATCACGGCTCATCTCTGTTTCCTGTGTTGCTTTGATAACTGGCTGCCCAGTATCTAACTAGACCTCCACATAACCACATACAGTGGGTAATAAATCACTTCTCTAGAACATGTTCTATATATATGCAGAATGTCTCTTTCGAGTAAGTCAATGTGTGTGTGGAGGAGAGGTAAAGAATGACAAAATGAGCTTTCATTAGAAAATTTATATACTAGTGCAAAAGTGTAGAAAACAGTTGATTTATTTTTCTTGTACTCAAGGCCTCACACTTTCTGTTTGGCGTTTTGCTCAAGGCTTGGTGCTCTACCACTTTAGCAACATCTCCATTTTGGGCTTTCTTTCCCTTGGTTAATTAGAGATAACAGTCTCCCAAATTGTCTAATCTATAATAGCTCCATATCTTGAGCCAAGAATGCCTAGATATTTGTTTTTTTTGTTTGTTTATGTATTTGCTAGTCTTGGGGCTGAACTCAGGGTCTGGAGGGTATCTATCCCTAGAGCTTTGTGTTCAAGGCGAGTACACTACCAATTGGACATAAGAGACTCATGAACTTTCCTGACCAGGCTGGCTTTGAACTGCAATCCTTAGACTTTAGCTTACTGAGGAGCTAGGATTACAGGCTTGAGCCACTGGAGCCTGGCAGTTAACATTAAAAAAAGTTAAATTATAATTTACCATTAAAAAAAATGGAAGCCTCTGTTAGGGAAATGAACCCTAAGATATGTATTCAAATGTTTTTTTTTCTTTCATGCGATTGTTTCTAACACATTTATAAGATTATTTCTTTGTTGCTATCTATGTCCCTCCCCCTGCTATCTATAACCCCT